TGAAGGATAAAGTATGTTGCCAAACCACTACATTATCATGGTGTTCATTCTGAGATTGAGGCCAACAGTAACGCGGTATATGAAACTGACAACCTAACTAAAACCACTACTAATCCCGACTTCCTTATGTTTCAAAAATTGTCTAAGAAACTGAAAACTTAACTAAACCCTCTGTTAAATTAGAGAGACAAAAGAGAGTAGACCTACATCCAATGCTTTTGACTCCAACAGTTGTCGTTTTGAGTTCCCTACAACTTCATCAAAGTAGATGGTCTCCATGTCATACCTATGATGCATAAGCGAGATCAAGACATACAAAATAAAGTGAGAACTAGAAACAGTACAAACCCATAGAGCCTCCCCAAGCAACTCGGCCGCGGCGTTGCTGCAGGCCATGGCGAACAGTTCCACTCGAAAATCCGTCCAATTTGAGCGAGAGTCAAAGAACTCGGGGAGGAATCGGACCTCGTAGTTTTGGATGTGGCTCGCCAGGTGAGCCATGGTTTCCAGCGAAAACAGGCACCAAAAGTTTTGGGGATGGAGTCGGCGACAGAGAGATTTGGATTGGATTTAGATTTGGCGGCACAGAGTGATGGGTTTTCGGTTGGTTTGGGGAGATGTTGCTTTATTTAATTGTTGGTGCGTGGCGAAGGAGGGAGGAACGCTGCAGGAGAGTATTGTGCAGGAGGAAGAAGGTTGCACGGGGAAGAAGGGTTTGGGTGGGGCCCACTATTTTTTAACAAATATTGTACATCTATAGAGGACACTAATTTAGGCTATTTTTTCACTTCCATATTCAATATGTGCATAATGTTTGGTGTGAAGGACATTTTGTACTTGTCTGTAAAGAACTATGAAAATGAATATTTCAATACCATATACAATTTTAATCCCTTCCCAATTGGTGGATTGCCCTAGTATATAGGTCTTTCTTTCATTTCAATACATCCCAAATTCAAACCTCATACTTTCTTTCAAGTGTATTTTAGTTCCTTACTAGCAGGAATGCCTGCGCTTTGCTGCGGGTTTTCAGACTATAATCGACAACCTACATGAATAATATCCACACAAAAATTAACTGAAATTGTTGTAGCAAATACAATCGCTAAATGTAGCAATTTAAACAACGCATGTTTTACCTAAGTAACGCTCACAAAACCACAAACAATCCCAAAAAAAAATACTAACATAGAATCAATTCAAGTATATTAGGAGCATGTTTGCACTCAATAGAGGGGAACCAGACCAAAGGAATTCGTAGCTCTTCTAACTTTATTGTTTGGCCTAAAGAGAATTTGTGGGCAATAACCCTAAAAGCTATCCAACAAAAAATAAAACAAAATTCATAAATTATCAAAATAAAATTAAGCAACAAATTGCAAATAAAAAGCACACAGTTCATAAACAATCAAAATTAAAAGCAGGAAAGAGTGAGTAGTGTACCAGGCCGATGTCTGACTCGTCATGGAGAGCTTCAATCACTGATTCTGGCAACTCAGCTGAAACAACTTTGAGAGAAAAATAGGCACTATCGCAACTATCTTGAGAAGTGAATTTCACATCAACAACTGAAATTTCGAAACCCACCACAGAAGCAGCATATGAAAACAACGAAAAAGGAATTTAGTCAAAGTTATTTTCTAATCATTAGAATCCTAACCAAAGCAATTTTCAACTTCAACATTCAAAATGAAAACATACAGAGTTTATATTAATCACTCAAATTCATGTTTACATTTTGTACCACTACAGCACTACTGATTAACCTTTTCGAGGTCCTTATTAGACTTGGCATTTTGGACCTGACCCGTTAACCCGACTCGACCCGACCCATTAATATTAGTATTTGGATGGATGCTTAACGGGTCGGGTTGCTAACGGGTGAACCCGTTAAATAACGGGTCACTTTGGGTCAACCCGCTAGACTTGTTAGCACCTGTTAGTACCCGTTAGCATCCGTTAGTTGATGATGTTTTAGTAATTTTAGTAAAGTCTTAACAACAAAAAATAAACTCTATGCAAAAAAAATAATAATAATAATTGTTAAGGGGTGAAAATGATGACCCGTTAGCTTAACGGGTCGGATTGAACCCGACCCAAACCCGATAAACCCGACCCATTTACAGGCCTAGTACTTATTAACATTTGAAAACTCTTGGACACATAAAACTTAAAAATGCAAAAAAGTAAATTGCTTCAAAAAAAAATAAAAATATATATATATATATATATATATATATATATATATATATAAGGATGATGTTACCTTCCCAATCACAACCCATTTGCATCTTGCCAAAACTATCGGACTCGTACTTAAAATTTTTCGACATTGTATTGCCAGGAGGACCCAATTGGCCTGATTAAAAAGGGCTAGTTTCCCAAAACCTTTGAACTGTTCAGAGTCCAAATTCCAGAAAACAAATGCTAATGAATAGCCAATTAATACTGGGTAATCATTGAAATTAAAGTCCAGAATTTACTAATGTCAAATTTACAACCAAAGGAGCAATCAATTTATTGAACTCCAAAGAAATATCTTCACATAAAAGTATTTATTTTCACAAAATAAATGAAACTATATCAAATGTCTTGATATAAACTAAGAACTCGAAAGCTTAAGCAAAACCCACTCTCAGCAATCAAAATTAACAACACACTAAGCTCTGCAACTTAAAATGTTTAATTAAATTTTCCAACTTAAAACCCTAAATTAAATCCTACAAATTGAAATAGCAGAAACAGAATAAGAGAGGAGAAGGAATAAATCACTGACCTTCGAGCTGTTGGAAGCTCTGATGGGTGTTTCTTTTCATCCAGCCCTAAAAAACAGAACCCACAATTGTAATATAATATCCAATCCTATCAAGAATCAAATTAACCCAGCCATGTGTATAGAAAAATTGAACAAATTTAGACATTAATATGTATGTATATTATAGTAAAAAAGATTGAAATGCACTGAACCCTAAATTGCAAAACTACGTCAGACTGATTGAAGAAGAGAAACAGAGAGGGAGAGGGAGTGGGACGGAGAGAAAACCCTAAAAACAGAACCATTTCGCAACCTCATACAAAATCAAGCCAACAAATTCCATTTCAATTTTGACAAAACGAATTGAAAAGAATAATGAAAATCCACCTATATGTCAAAACCCTATACTTAATTTTCATAAAAAAAAATCCAAATAGAAAATCAAGACAAATAATTGGATTAATTGACACTAATCCAAGTCAATTAAATAGCCAAGGTCAAAAATCCATATCCAAGTACACTTGTTTCCCACGGTTTCTGCACCCAATAAAAAAATAAATAAATCAGTCTAATACCAAATTCGGACAGATGTATTTGCATCTTGCATTCGGATTTAAAAAATCAACTTTGAAGAAAATAACCCATTAAAAATTAAATTAAACTAAGTAAACCCAAATCAAGTAAATCCAGTAAAAAAGTCAAGTTCACAGTACAACTTTATATTTGTTTTCACTTACACTGATGATAAGTATAATCAAGACAGAGAAACTCATGAACCAGCTCTCAAAGATACAGAAACCTATCAAGTACTTGGACAATGAACATACCCAAAAAAGGAATTTCTTGGACATGAAACCAACAGGTCTACAGAGAATTAAACACAAATTCAAAATCGATGGTTCATATAGAGATCTTCGATCAAATCGCAAAAAGTGAAGAAAATTCATAACAAAACGGGAAAAAAAAAAACATAATCTCACTTCGCACAGTTTTTCTGTGAGCAACAACTCTTAATTTCCCCATGTTCAACTAAACCTCCACAGAAAACTGCAAAAAAAAAAAAAACAGATGAGAGTCATTTAGAAACGGCAAAAAATCGATATTAATAGATAAGAAAGAAGTCAGAGAAAAAATCTCTCTCTCTATTTCTGTCATCTCAAAGTCACATTCTTTATCAAATTCAACAAATGGATTTTAACAAAAAAAAAAAAAAAAAAAAATGGATAATTCACACAGATTGAAAAAAACCTACTCACATCTAGACAGAAATCTTTCGGAAGCAGCGGAAAGTAGTCCTGTGGAAGATCAAAGCTGTTTTGCATAGGAAATAATAAAATTGAAAAAAAAAATCAAAACTTTAAATTACAACTAAATTTATTAATTTCTTAATTGAAATCCAGAAAAAAAAAATTGCAAAATTTAAGCAATGCAGAGAAAACCCAGATCCCACCTCAAATTTGTACATGAAGCATTTTTACAAATCACCCAACCATGAATCACAGGAGCAGAGGATTGAGTATGGTGGAGGAGAGACCGAGAGAGAAAGAGAAGAGAGAGAGAAAGGGGAAAATGAAGGCCAAATGGGTCTCTCCCATCCCTCTCAATCTTTCCATCACCGACACCAACCCTTGATTTGAGGATGAAAAATCCACCCTAACCCCACTTTTTGGCAGCCTCGCTCCTATTTCTCCTTTCCCCTCCCTCTGCCATCTCACGCCTCTCTCCCCGAAATCCCTCCATGGCTGAAATGTAAATAATGCAAAATCGAGGGCCCTTTTTATAATAGACTGGTAAAACCGTAAATATTTCGAAATATGTTCAGAGACAAAAGTACCCCTCATACTTTTGATAATTTCCCTCCCAACCAGCCCATTTGGATGTGGCATTGTGGTAAATAGCGTGAAATCGAATGGCAAACAATTGACTGTAGCTAAGCTACAGTCAATTCATTCCTCAATTTTAGAATAGACTAGAAAATAAGCCCACGCGTTGCAGCGGGAACCACTGTTTCAAGCGTAAGTGCATGACTAAGACACATTTAACCTGAATAAATTCAACACAATCATGAATGAACAGAGAGACACATGAGTAAATGAGGTCAATAAGATAAGCAGCTTGGCTTTTATATACATTCAATTGAGCTAACATGTAAAGACATTGCACAATTAGTAGGAAGAAACTGAACATTCTTGATCACAAAGACATCGTTGCCAAAAAAGTTCTGTTTCCATAAGAAACAAGCAACATGAAGTTCACACATATTTTGCTTCAGCAACTAATAAAAAATATAGAAAGTGTTCAGTACTTGTTCAAGTAGCTAATTTTCCAAGTACAAATGTTCAAAGCCAATAATATGCAGAAGCCCTGTTTCCATATGAAACAGAAGAAACAGAAGCAACATGCAGTTTACACATATTTTGCCCCTGCAATTAAGACGGCAAAATATATGTCCTACAGGCTAGGCACCTATTTTAGCACTTACCAAAAACTGCAAAAGTGTTCTGTTCTTGTTTGAGCAGCTAAGTTGTCAAGCACAGATGTTCAAACCTAAAAAGGAGGTAAAAACAGAATCACACCCTCAAATGCACCAATGCAGATAACACACTAATGCCCCTTCACACAAACTGCAGGCCAAGATGCGCAAAAAACATTTGCATATTCCTTGAAGGTTTCTAGGCCTTTGCTATATTATGTATTAAGAACCAAACTTTATCCCCCAACACTAAATTTGTTGGAGTCACAATCCCATTGCAAGGGTTGTAAAACTCAAAAGCTTATTGTCCAAAACCAAAACAATTTGTACCATTTACATGCATGTGCAACATATGCCTTACACTGGAAAAACATCTAAAATCAAATACAAATTTATAAATCACATACAGATTTTGTTTTACATTTTTATAATCAAGTAGCAATAGCAAGTAAAATTACAAACTTTCAAAAACCTGAGAGTAGAAATTAAGATGTAAAGATATCCCGAAACATACAACATACTGTATAGAAGCTAACAGTAAAGGTTTGTGAAGCAAACTGCGGCATGAGCGTCCTCTTGAACAAATTGGAGGTACTTTAGCCTCAGTTCCTCCTCCTCTGTCAAAACAATTACAAAAACATAGGTAGCTTAACTAAAAAATGCATGATGAAATGGATAGTTTTCATGCAGAGAAAGAGAGTACTTTAATTTTTTTTATATAATATGAGACAACTATAATAATATACCTAGCATTATATCTTAGGTACATGTATAATAATACACAATTTGATGCGTGCCTAAGTAAATCTTTTAGGATTGTCAACCGGCTAAAACATATTAGAAAATAATCAAAAGAAAGCACTTTTGGTTGGTTAACTATTATAAACAATGGAAATTAGTATGACAGTACCAAACTAAATCCCAATTAAGACAAAAGGTCTGCTTGACCAAGTTTAATAAACCAACATACTGAGGCGGTAATGCCAACAGGCACATAAATAGGAATATTTGCAGCAACCTTTCTGGAATAGCAACAGCTCAAACTACTTGAAGCTACAATAATGAAGGGGTGAATTTAACTAATTTTACTCAGTTATAAGCATATCAAAACTGCAGGAGGGGGGAGAGAGTTAGAGTTAGATAGAGGGGGGAATTTTTTACAGTAATTATGGCTTACATTCTTGATTTTCTCTTGATGACTTGCACGTTAAAAAGTCAAGGGTCCAGAAAAACTTCAAAACGATAAATAAGAAATTATGTCCATATCATATAACGTGGTAAGGAAAGAAGCAATGCAAAACAGTCTCTAAGAACCAAGTTGGCATCCAAAGGCACCTCAACAGTCTCAAGAATTTTGTTCCAAGTATAGTCTATCTTTTATTTTCAAAATGAAACATCTTCATGTACCAAGTAAATGATAACATAAAGTATCATTTTCAATCGACAAAATTTTTTAATCGAACCCATATCTATATCTATATATATATATATATATGTATGTATGTATGTATGTATGTATGTATATGTGCACCTAGAAAAATCAACTATTTCCCTAGTACTAACAAAATTAGTAGTGTATATATGTAACATATATGTATGCATGTATATGTGCACGTAGAAAAATCAACTATTTCCCTAGTACTAACAAAATTAGTAGTGTATATATGTAACATATATATATAACTACACTTTTGGATTTGGAGGAGGAAGCAACTATACCCTGAATATATCCAAGGCTAATGAAAAACTTGACTTGTTTGTTAGTCAGTTCTTTGCTCAAATTTCTCTCATTATATGTTCTTGAACCTGGACCCATGCGCTTGTACTCTTCACAGGCCACATTGCTGCAATTTCAAATTATATTATTAACTCTCAAAACTAATTATATGAAAATGCTTAATCATGTTTTAAATGACATAATCTGCTTACTTGTTACATTCAGGATGGTTATCGTCGCTCCAGCCGGCAGGGCTAACCACCTTGGTCATGTTGGTGTAGGTATACACCATATGGGGTCTGCCTCTCCAAGCCCTGCCCAAATGTGTCACTGCCTGTCCCATTAATTATATGTTACATTGTTAGTCACTAAGCATCAAAAGTTCGAAACCAGGACTTGTAGACAAACAAAAAGATTAACTACACATATCTTAATTAATCCACCCAAACTATGTTTTGAGAGGGGGAAGGAGAACAATCATGTGGAATTTACAATTTATATGGTGAGACTTGCATAATCCACTCAATCGTTGTCGTTCGTATACATTCTTCATAAATTATATGAAAATTATGGGGAAAACAAATAACATGCATACATCTATATACGTATGGCTTAACACCTGAGTGTAAATACACTAAATATTAACATTTAGAAAATGAACAAACCTGTTTGCGAAACATAGACGAATCATCGAGCTTCCCGAAGTTTCGAGGGACATGAAGATCGTCTTCTCATCTTCCATGCACACCTGCCCCAACAACCACTGATAGGAGCATATTTATGCGACTTAGTTAGCTTGTTCTTGTGCATTTACGTTGTATTTCCTTAGTTATTTTAGTGTTCAAAGTTATTTTTGTGTGTTTTCAGACTCTAAGTACAAAGTATGCAAGAAGATGCATTTTGGAGGCCTTTGGAGCATGTTTCGGGCTTGGAATGGATAGCAAATGCATGGGCCAAGTGGATGGACGAATTTGAGAACTAAAGAGGCCAAGAATATGAAGAATTATGGTCCAAAAGATGAAGAAAACAACCCAAAAATATGTCACCCCAACTTGCATTCCTTGCCATGCAAACCACATAGAATTCCCTTTGGATTCCATGCCATGCTTGATCACTCTTGTCCCCTACATAATTTCTAATTTCATGCTTCAATTCATTTAATTATTACGCTCAATTGCTTGATACCTCTTGTTCCCTTCACTCATTAGATTTTCGACAACATTTACATCCATTACATGCACCAATTGATGCTCCATCATTCACATTTGGAATCCAATGCCATGTGCAACACATGTTGTTGCACCTTTGACCCATTTGTTGACACATTTCACCTCCATTTCCATCTCTATGCAATGTACACAATCATTCATGCTCCCTAGTTACAACACCACTCCATTTTACCCTTCACACTTTGCATCATTACTTCATTTTCACCCTTGGACCATTGCACACCACACACACAAATTGCCATGCATTTCATCCTTAACCTAACCTGATTTTCTAAGGTTTTTGGGGCCTATAAATACATGTTTACACCCCTTGGCCAGAGGACAATCCCCCATATTCATCATTTTATCACAAAAATTCGTCCATACACACCCTAGGAAGCAAAACACCCCAAAAACACCATTCTAGTGCCTAGAAAACATAACAGCCACTCCACCTTCTTCCACCCTCTTTGCCTAGTTCTTCACCACCCTCCAACCCTCAAACACTCCTCCACACTTACCCTAAACCTTTCCATACCATTCCCCATCCATTCTCATCATAAAATTACCCAAAAATCCGTCCACAAAACAATCTGCCGCAAGCAAGCAAAGGAGAATTCTTGGATGCACTTGTTACCCAAGTTGGAGCATTTTAGGTGTTTTCTTTCCTTTGATTTTAATGTCTAATTTTATGTATCTTTGCTTTGTGAGTATGAGGAACTAAACCCCTCTTAGTTAGGGGGTGATTCGAAACCATGTTCATACTTGCAATATGATTTGATTACATCCAGTTGTGATTCATAAGTTGTGAATTCAATTTACTTATCCGATCGTATAAAAAATGATTTGTGTATGTTGGTTGAGAGTGCACGCTTAATTTTCATGCATGAATTTAACGCTAGAATATAAGGGAGTTTCACCTAATTGTTATGAACTTATATTCACAAGTAGTGAAGGTTGCTAGTCACAATCACGTTAAGTAAATTCTTGGCATAAGTTTCATGCAAATCATAGTAACGAGTGCCTCGTCAATGCTTATGTTTTTCATAGAACTTAATGATTCTTGCTTGTATCTCTATTATGCAATTCATGTAGGGAACTTGTAGGGAATGTTTTGGGTTGTCGTATGCAATCATCCAATCCAATAACTTGTGGAAAAAATGAGGGTTAATTAGTGCAATTCACGGTTAATTTGGGGCGTTGAGTATTCATAGCTTATCGAAAAGCAACTGGAAATCGTTTTGTATGCAAGTGTGACATGTGTGGAGAGAAAACCTCCTAGCTAGCCTTCCATCCATAAGTTTCATTCAAATTCATTTTACAATCTGTTTTGATTCACTTAAATTTGTCTAAGAATTTGTTTACTTTGTTCTTGTCTTAATTTAATTATTTTCGTCCAAAATCAACCCCATCTTATTTCTTTGAGTCATATTAATTAGAACTTGTCTTAGATTATGTTTTTAAGTGTTTTAGTTCATTAGAAAACCAAAATTCGTCCAAGTTTGTGTTAGAGTCCCAAAACTGCCCAGATTGTGTGTTTAAGGTAGTTTTGAGTGCTTAGGGGCTGTTTTGAGTCTTTGGTTTGTTTTAGTGTTTTAAAGTATAGTTTTGCATTCTTTGAGTCTACTTAGTGTTTTAAACTTTGTTTTTACGTTTTCAAGTCAGTTTCCAAGTGATTTAGCAATCACTGTTAATCCCCGGCCTAGAACGATCCCTACTTACATACTTTACTACAATTGATAAAAAGAGGGTTTAATTTGTGTGCTTAGTTATTTTACGCATCAAATTTTGGCGCCGTTGCCGGGGATTAGCAACTTTGCTAATCTCTTGGATTGTTTTCTTTCGAATTATTGTATTTTGTTTAAGTTTCTGTTTAAGTTGCTGATTTGTTTTGTTTTCTTTAGGTACTAGTTTATGACCCGTAGCTCACAACCTGTTCGTGAGCATATCTCCGACTTTGACGGTGATTTTGAGAGGACTTTGAGAAGGAAAAAGAAATTGCAAGAGTCTAATCCTCCTAGTCCCGAGCCTGAATTAGAAGAGCAAGAAGTTGAGGTTGAAGAGAAGGCCACGACACAAGTGGGTGGAGAAGAGCAAGGTATAGCCATGGACAACCGTACGCTCAAGGAGCTTGCCGTCTCAGGTTTGGATAATGCCGCACCATTGTGTATCCAATATCCCATGGCTGCTCAAGGTAAAACCGAAGAGTTCGAGTTAAAGTCAAGTTTGCTCCACCACATTCCAAAGTTCCATGGGCTGTCCATGGAGGATCCGAACAAACATTTGAAAGAATTTGAAGTGGTGTGCTCAAGTATGACTCCGGTTACTGTTGACGGAAGTATTTTAAAGATGAAGGCTTTTCCATTCTCTTTAATGGACAAAGCCAAGGATTGGTTATACGAGTTGGCTCCCGGTACAGTTACATCTTGGGAGAGTATGAAGAGGGCGCTTCTGGAGAAGTTTTTCCCAACTTCTCGCATCATTCTTCTTCGTAAAAAAATAAGTGGAATTCAACAAGATGAAGGTGAGTCTTTTCCTACATATTATGAACGATTTAAATCACTTGTTGCTTCTTGTCCACAGCATCAGATGAAAGAGGAGTTGCTTTTGCAATACTTCTACGAAGGGCTCCTACCACTAGAACGTCAAATGCTCGATGCCTCGGCGGGTGGAGCATTGGTGGACAAAACGCCCATGGCTGCAAAAATCTTGATTGCTAATAGAGCATTGAACGCTCAACAATACGAAGGTGTAGGCCAAAGAGGACCCCCACGGCAACAAGTGCATGAGGTAAGTTCCGCATCCAATATTCAATCTCAGTTAGCTAATCTTACTTCTATTATTTCACAGATGGCTGAGGGAATGAAGATTAAGGACCCATGGTGTATGGCGTATGTTCTATCCAAGGACATGCTTCCCAAAAGTGTCCTCAACTCATCGAGAATGGTGGATGGGAGAGTGCTAATGCCATTGGGTTTCAAAGCCAAAATCAGCCAAGACATGATCTATACTCCAACACGTATAATCCGGGGTGGAGAGACCATCCAAACTTCAAATGAAGAGAGCCACAACAAGCCCAACCACAAGGAGGCTTTAGGCAACAACCCCCGGGCTTCTACAACAACCCATACGCACCCCCTCAAGTCCAACCACAATCTGCCCCAAATAATTCAGGTAATGCTTTGGATAATGATACACTTGTTAAGTTACTAACCACTTTGACTAATGGGCAGGAAAATCAAAACAAAAGAGTGGACCAACTAGAGAAACAAATGGGGCAGATTGCCGACGTTGTTAGGCAGATTAGAGACCAAGGAAGGCTTCCTAGTTCTACCATTCCAAACCCGAAGGGAGGCTTTGAAAGTGCAAAGGCCATACTTTTGAGAAGTGGAAAAGAGATTGGGGCAGGTTCTTCATCAAAAACAGTGTGGATGCAAATTTTCACCTCTTCGATCTTGGACGGTTATGCACCTACAAAACAACTAGCACCTTAGGTTAAGGCCAAAAGCCTCACGCGCCCACGATGAATGGGGGGGGCTTTGGCCGAAGAACCTCCGATGCCAAAGTTAGAATTTTAGAGAGAAATAGTGTTTAGAGTGTTTTGGAATTTTTGCAAGAGATTTGGAATGAGTGTTTGGTAAAAATGGGTGACTATTTAGGACCAAATTGGTCCACATCTTCAAGAAATGGCCGGCCCTTTTCATGTGCTTTGGGATGAATTTTGTGGTTTTATTAGCCACTTTATTGGCTAATAAAATATAATAGAAATAAATGGGAAGTTACCCAATTGAATGACTAGCATTATTTGGCTAATATAGTGGAAGAAATTTGAAAAGGTGTGGAGCAAAGAGAGGGAATGTGGCCGGTCTACTAGGTGGGATTTTAGGGTTTATTTTAGGTTTAATTAGCCAATTAATTGGCTAATTAAATATGAAAGGAGATGTTTTAGTATTTATGGTATTGATTGGTTAATTTAAAAGGGAAGGAAAGGTGGAAAAGGTAGAAAAAGGTGATGGAATAGGCTTTGAATAGGGTAGCCGGCCCTATACCATTTTTTAGGTTTGAGTGGATGTTTCAAATTGATATTTAAGGGATGATTTTAGGAGATATGGGAAGAATATATTATTTAGATAATTAATTAACTAAATAATATATTAGGGAAATTAAGTTTTGGAAATAATTACCTAAAATAAGATAATTTGGAATTGGTTACCTCTTCTGGAGCATTTTTGAATTGGTTGAGGATGATTACCCACTACTTGCGCGTAGGAATCCCGGTATGCCTCAAGGGTATTTTTGTCCTCTTTCGTTCAAAAGTCCACGTGTCGCCTGGTGAATATTTTTGGCTCCACAAATGCCCCCACACCTGTTGAGCTGTTTGCAGAAAAGGGCAATAGGTGTAGAGATTTTCTTGCTTTAGGAAACTCTGAACTGCTTCCTATTTTGTTGTTGATTCTCTCTTTCAATAGGAAATTAAATCCTTCTAGGAAAAGGAAATAAATTTCCCCAAAGCTTATTTAAGTCCACCTTAAGTGGATTGTTAAATCAACTTTTAGA